TATTAATCTGAATCATTAATGATAGGATGGCACCGGCAAATGAGAAGGAAACTCTTCATTTGTATCATAGCATCGTTAGCATCGGAGAGGCTAGCGACTAGCATGGATAAGCTAGCGTTAGCATCGGAGAGGCTAGCGACTAGCATCGATAAGCTAGCGTTAGCATCGGAGAGGCTAGGGACTAGCATGCCTAGGCTGATACAAACTTTTTCGAATAAAGAAAACTTTCTCTATTGATTAAACTTTTTCTAAAAAGTCCCAAGTTGATAGTTCTGGCTTTTCTCATAATTCAGCTAAAGAGAAAACAAAAAACAGCCATTGACCAATAGTCAAGGCCAAACACAGCTGCTAATTCAGGTGGTAACTGAAGCTGTTACACAAATTTGTTTTGTTAAATATGTATATTTGATGTCATGTTGAACTGTAATCATTTTTGCTGCGAAAGTTTTCTTTATTCAAAAGAGTTTGTCTAATAAAGTATTTAATATTAATGGACTTACCTGTGCTTTGTCGTAATTCTTTCGGGCTAACCTGGCAGCCATTTCTCCGACCCGAGCAACACAGCGCCCCCTGCGGTCACCTTGTGTTATTACACCAACATGTGGCAGGCCGTTTTAACATTAAATCAGCTTCACACACCATGTTCCGGATATCTGAAAATGGTTTATAACTGGACATATAAGTTATCTAGATAGGTAAAATAACTATTTAAGATATGTTGAATTACATTCTGACTATTAAACTATTCTGACTGTTATCTTTTGTTTATCTTTCATTATTCTTCTCAGCCTCTCCTGTATTAAGCTGCAGTAATGTGCAAATTTCCCCACTGTGGGATCAATAAAGTTTAATCTAATCTCTTATCTTATCTTAAACATTATGTCGAATTTACCATTAAACAGTATGACAGCTAAAAGTGTGGAATAATGCTTCAAAATGCATAAAGATATCTTGAATTTTATGACAACAAAAAGTGAGATATCTCAAATTTACTGTATGATTAGTCATACTTTAATTGTTTATGTTTCAGTTTGTAATTTATTGCATATATCTAGAATTGGAGCTGTCATACTGTTTAATGGTAAATTCGACATAATGTTTAAGATAAGATAAGATTAAACTTTATTGATCCCACAGTGGGGACATTTGCACATTACTGCAGCTTAATACAGGAGAGGCTGAGAATAATGAAAGATAAATAATTCTAGATATATGCAATAAATTACAACCTGAAACATAAACAATTAAAGTATGACTAATCACACAGTAAATTTGAGATATCTCACTTTTTGTTGTCATAATATTCAAGATATTTTAATGCATTTTGAAGCATCTTTTCACACTTTTATTCTTTGTAATAAACTAAACATTTTATGTTCAGTTCGTCTTAATAAAATCAGTCACACAAAGGCAGCTGGGTTAAATCACAGAAACATTTTTTTAACATTTATTGTCTTTAGATTAAAGCTGAAGCAAACAGAACAGATATTTTTGTTCTCGATGCTGCAGATTCCTGTGAGCGGTGATGAAGACCTGCCGGCTCCACTGCAGAAGCATCAGCACACAGAAATGTGTCCAACAAGCATCAGCACGATCCTGTCCTCCCTGCAGCACCGTGGAGCTGCTCCTCATCCTCACGCAACACGAGTTCCAGTCAGGTTCTGCTGAATTAACCAACCTGAAGGGAATTTATGTCATAACTTCCCTAAAAGAAAATCAGGCGGAGACGATCAGGTTTCGTCTGATTTTCAGTACATGAACAGTGTGTTTTTAGCTCTGCGTGTCTTCTGAAGGTGACACAAACTGAAAACACAATCAGCTACACAACAAAAGTCGACACACACGTGTTCATTACATTCTGTTTAAACATCTGGGACAAACTACACAGTTTATGCATCTGTTTAAATTTGACATGAGCAGGTTTTTCAGATTCAGTGGGCACATGACAGAATGCTAATTGAACAGGTAACAACAGCGCCCCCTGCTGAGCAAACCTGGAAACAAACAATTATTTATCCCATTCAAGTCCTTATTCAGATCTAAATACTTTTTAAACTTTTCACAGTAAAATGAAGAATTAAACAGAATGTTTTAGCTTCAGATGTCATTAACAACCATCATAAATTGTACAATAATCTGTGTAAAACTGTATTTGATAGTTTTATCCACAACTTCTACTATTAAAGATTACATTAGCCTCTCAATTAAAAATCACAATATTTAATATCTTTCAAACTCTACCTAATGAAGCTCTTTAAAATAAAACCCCAATTCCAATGAGCTTAGATCGTTGTGTAAAACATGAATAAAAATCATTTCAACATTTATTCAAACAAATAAATTACAAAGTAAAATATATTTAATGTTCAAACTGATCAACTTTAATAGTTTTTGCAAATATTCACTCATTTTGAATTTAATGGTTGCAACATGTTCCAGTAAAGCTGGGACAGGTGCAACAAACGACTGGGAAAGTCGAGGAATGCTCAGGTATGACCAGGTATGAAGGGCGCATCCTTGAAAGGCTCAGTCGTTCATGAGCTGAGCAACAACGAAGAGAGGAGGTTCACCACTTTGTGAACCGAGTGAGCAAATAGTCCAGTTTTTGTAAAGAATTCAGTGATATCATCATCTACAGTCCATAATATCAAAAGATTTGAGAATCTCAACAAACTCTGCAAGTAAACTGCAAGGCTGAAAACAAACAATGAGTTTGTAAATCATTGTATCCTGTTTCTCTTTGTTTTAAAACAACACCTGTACTGAGTGACTGTGACCTTTTACCCCCAGGCAGCACTGCATTAAAAACTCACGTAACAGATATTAACACATAAACCATCATCAGTGAACACAGTTTATCTCTACATCTAAAAAGGCAGACAGGAAGTCTGATAGAAACAAACAGGAAGTCAGATGGAAACAAACAGGAAGTCAGATGGAAACAAACAGGAAGTCAGATAGAAACAAACATGAAGTCAGATGGAAACAAACAGGAAGTCAGATGGAAACAAACAGGAAGTCAGATAAATACAAACAGGAAGTCAGATGGAAACAAACAAGAAGTCAGATGGAAACAAACTGGAAGTCAGATGGAAACAAACAGGAAGTCTGATGGAAACAAACAGGAAGTCAGATAAATACAAACAGAAAGTCAGATTGAAACAAACAGGA